GCTAATTCTACTGAGCCATCCCCCTAGCCCCATGAGACCTATCTGAAACAAACAATAAAAGGTGGTTTACATGATATAAGAATAGTGACAAAGACTACATGGCCTGCAAAGCCAAAAATATTTACTACTTGGTCCTTTCTAGAAAACTTTGCTCACTTCTGAGTTAGATTATTACCAACTCTTATGGAGTTATCAAAGAAGAAATCCTTATTGATCTGTTCTATTAGCTAAGTACTCATCAAAACTGATGTTTTTTTAAATTTTTCCTTCAGTGGTTGGTTCTATAAACCTTTATTAAAATATAGGCTTTACAATAATAAAAAATAATTATGAGCCCAAAGTCAAACATCAAATCAATGATATCATGAGGAAATCATCCATCAGGATGCACAACACACACTATATAAATCATATTCTTACGGAATACCCTCTAGGTCCCACACACAATGCCAGGCAAGGAAGATACAAGTTAAATGAGATATAGTAGCTGGTTTGGGGGTGCTTATAGACTACTAGAGAAAATCTGAGCTTGTCAAGTACATCATCTCGTTTTACTTAACTTATTTATCTTTTTATTGTCAAGAACAGTATGTGATTGTTTCCAAATAATTAATGGAGAGATTTCCAAATTTTCTTGATTCAAGGACACATAGTATCCTTTATGGTTCTATTATTATTATTATTAGTGTGTGTGCGTGCACTAGAAATTGAACCCAAGACCTCACACACAATAAGTTTGCCTTCTAACACTAAGCTACACATCCAGTCTCAGTAATATTGTTATGATGCCATAGACTGGAAAAAAAAATTAATAGGTTCAAACAGTTTTAAAAGTTTGTCCTAACAACTTAGCAATTTAACAAAAATAGGAGCTGGCCAAATAGCTCAGCAGATTAAAGCACTTGCAAGCAGGCAGAGGGGCTGGGGGTTCAATCCCTGGGCCAGTGCACTAAGGACAATTAAGACTGGGCATGGTGGCACAAGCCTGTAATCCCAGCTCTTGGGAGGCTGTAAACAGGCAGATCACTACACGTCCAAACCAGTAGTGAGACCCTGAACATCCTGTACACCCTTTCCAAAAAAAAAAAAAAAAAAACCAACACACACAAAAAATGGGGCCAGGAGATGACTCAGTAGGATAAGCACTTCTCTGGCAAGCGCAAGGGCCTGAGTTCAAACCCCAGTTCCACCAAGAAACAAAACAGAAAACCCATAAATTGTAAATATTTTCTTATTTTAAAATAACCATTATTTTAGCAGCACATGGTGTTGCATACCTGTAGTCTCAACTACTCAGGAGAGGAGACAGATCCCTGAGCCCATGTATTTATGGCCAGCAGAGGCAACATAGAAAAACCCAATTTATTATTATTTTTTTTTACTTTTTATGTATTTGGTACAGGATCTCACTACCCAGCTCAGACTTGTAATAATCCACCTGTTTTCAGCCTCCCCAGAGCGGGGATTACAGGCATGTGCCACCAGGCCCAGACTCAGTGTGGTGCCGTGGTCCCTGTGCTTGCCTAATCAGGCGCTTAGACGACTGAGCTATCTCGCCAGCCTGAAAAACCCAATTTAAATAAAGCCAAAACCCCAAAACTATCATGTCTTACTAGTAAGACATATGCATGAAACTGTTAGACACTGTACAACTACCTTGGACTCAAACTCACTTCCTATTCCACACTGATTTTTTAAAAACTCACAGCAAACCAGAAAAAAAAAAAAAAAACCAGCTTTGCAAAAATATAGGGATATAATGTTGAAACTGAACTACATGGAGCCAGTAATTTATATAGCACCTGACAGACTTGAATATTTCCATTAAAACTTTAAAATATCCCATGGCATCCACATGAACTGCTACAATGTTCCAAGGGCCCTCACAGCAAATACTGGGAACTAAAAGGGCTAAGTAATTTGAGTGACAAAGTGCTGAATTTACTTTTGAAGTTTTATTGATAGTTGTAATATACTTTTCATGAGAATTATGAAAGTGCAATTGATAAAATATTTTGATTAACTTTCTTTACTTTCTTTTTTTTTTTTTTGCAGAACCGAGGATTGAACTCAGGTCCTTGCGCTTGCCAGGGAAGCGCTTATTCCACTGAGCCATCTCCCCAGCCCTACTTTCTTAATAGTAGCTACAAGTAAGCAATCTGTTAGTGAAAACAGCCCAAATTATTCTCCACAGAAAATATACAAATGGCCAATAAGCACAAGAAAAGATGCTCTACATCACTAATCACTAGAGAAATGCACATTAGAACCACAATGAAGGGCCAAATAGCTCAGCAGATTAAAGCAACTACTTGGTGCAGGGCCAGGGGGTTAGATCCCCAGGCCTGCTGTTAGACACTGTACAACTACCTTGGACAGTGAGGCCCTGCCCCAGGGGCACACTGAGAGGACAACTGAGACTAGGTGTGGCAGAGGGCCCAAGGGCACACTGAGAGGGCAATTGAGCCAGGGCATGATGGCGCATGCTTGTAATCCCAGCTCTTGGGAGGCTATAAACAGGCAGATCTCTATGAGTCTGATCTAGTAAGTGAGACCCTGAACACCCTGTAGAGCTAAAAGAAAACAACAACAGCAAAACCACAATGAAGTTCTACTTCAGGCCCATGAGGATGGCTATTATAAAAAAATCAAAGCAAGGGCTGGGGAGATGACTCAGTAGAATAAGTGCAAGCGTAAGGGCCTGAGCTTAATCCCTGTTTCCACCAAAAGAAAAAAAGACAAAATCAAAGCAAAGGGCTGGTGAGATGGCTCAGTGGTCTAAAGCACCTACTTAGAATAAGCTTAGCAAAGCACAGGGACCGTGGTTCAATCCCCCAGCACCACATGCCAGCCAGCCCCGCCCCCTGGTGGGCTGAGCTGGCCACACACACACACACACAAAATTTAAAAAAAAAAAAATCAAAGCAAAAAATACATGTTCACAAGGATGTAGAACCTAGAATTCTTGTGCTGACTGCTGATGCTAATGGAAAACAGTATGGTAAAACAATGCAGCTACTATGGAAGACAGTATGGTAGTTTCTTAAAAAATTAATTTTATTTTTTAAAATTAATTTTATAGGGGTCGGGGAGATGGCTCAGTGGAATAAGCGCTTCCCTGGCAAGTGCAAGGGCCTGAGTTCAATCCCTCGTTCTGCCAAAATAATAATAATAATAATAATAATTAATTTTATGTCCAGCAATTCTACTTCTGGATATATGCTCAAAACAATTGAAAGCAGGAATTGAAACATCAATATTCATGTCAGCATTATTCACAATAATCAAAAGGTATAAATAATCCAAACGTCTACTTGACAATGACTGGATACACAAAATACAGTTTATGAGTACAATGAAATATTACACTATAAAAGAATGGTTTATATAAGGTTTATAAAAGAATGAAATTGGGACTGGGGAGATGGCTCAGTAGAATAAGCGCTTGCCTGGCAAGCACAAGAGCATGAGTTCAATCCCCAGTTCTGCAAAAATAAATAAAAAAATAAATAAATAAATGAAATTCTGAAACACACTATATGATGAAATCTGATGATACGCTACGTGAACACAGCCAGAAGCAAAAGGACAGGTCTTGTTATGATTCCTGATATGAGGTAGCAGAAGTCACGCTCATAGAAACACAAAGTATAATGGTGGTTGCCAGAGGCTGGGGAGAAGAATAAGAAATTATTTAATATGTATAGAATTTCTATTTGGAAGAATTAAATGTCTGGAGATAGACGGTGATGACAGCTGTACAACAATGTGAATATATAATGCCACTGAATAGAACACAAAAATGGTTAAAATGATAAATTTTGTTATATTTCACCACAATTTAAAAAATGAGGGGGCTGGTGAGATGGCTCAGTGGTCTAAAGCACCTACTTAGAACAAGCTTAGCAAAACACAGGGAC